GCTTCTTAGAGTCTGGCTAGGTACCTCTTATAGGTGAGTGAAGGTAGACAGTGAAGTAGCACCTGCGCAAAGTCTGCTTTCACATAAAAATAAGTTGGGTGGTGTTTCGGCTTGCACTTGATAAAGCAGCCTACGCCGGATGCCGTTTAGTCTTCGAGACTCCGGGAGAAGGTGAAGAGTGCAGCGTCACTTACTACGTCCTCTACTACTTTAAAGCTAACCCCTGAATCTGTCAAATTCTGTTCCAACCTGTTGGTGCACTTGGTGGATTTCATCAAAATCTATGGTCGAAAACACACTGCTATGTACGATGGATTGGAAAACAAATTAGTTCTGTAGGTGCCTCAAATTTCTGAGTGATATTTCATGTACCACGGTTTGCTTTTCCACACAATTCTTTGGCAGATTGGGGGGGAGCAATTTCCTACAAAGTGTAGTCTTTGTGCTTTGGCTGTCACGATCGTCCTTCCTCTGGATGCGGTATACGGAGAGACCATCAACATTTTAATCCAAGCAAAAACGATTAAATTGAGAATCGCTTGAGATACGCCCAAGTCCCACTAGACGGAACAGTCTAAGGGCATTGGGTTCGGTGATTGCGGGACACATAAGGCATGCGGTCCTGTAACGGCTGAGCTGTTAGTACAACACATGAACTCTCAAAAGCCCCAGTGTCTAGAGGAGACGCAGTCAGAGTCATCTTTGCAGCCTAATTAGCGGTTTGCATGGGAAGCAAATAATAAAAATGCGAAACCAGACCTACTGTAAAATAATAAGTATTTCTTTAAGTATAGAAAAACGTTGCATTGGCCATTATAGATTGCTTTTGATTTCCCAGTGTTGTGAGTTTGCCCGCCTACATTTATTCACTGTAAACGGAGGATATTCTTGCTGAAACCTTTGGAATACTTTTTTTCAAAATAAAGCGTATATCTCTGTCTACCAGGATGTAAGCGTTCCGCAGTTGACAGGAAGTGTGGTGACTTCACATTCAGCGGACTTAACTGATTTGTCAATTAGCCCTACTGGTATACGCAATATTATCGTCCTATCCGTACTGTGGGATTCATTTGTTCCATTTCCTCGATTGGTTTATGCGTAGAAACCTTGCCTAAATATGTACCCAAGTCCAAGCACTTCCATTCCCTTTGACGTCGACGAGTCAAGTAATGCATGTATACAACCGTGGAATCGCAAGGGTCTTTGGTTTTGAGGCTGTCATGTCTTGCAGCTGCTGGTCTTGCAAAAAACCTAACCTATACTAAGTGAATTGTTGTGGCCAACTCAAGGCAAACCACCTACCTTAATAAACACCAAGTATATTTCCAAAATATCGTGAAGCGTGGGATATTCACTTAATAGGCTTTTCGAGTATTTACGCTCTCCTAGGAGACAAAGTAATGTAATATGCATGAAAATTCAATGTCCAGATATCTTGTCATTCTCATCCTCCCCCACCATGCTTACTGGCTTGCCCCCGTCGGCCGACGGAATTTTCAGTTGTCGCTACCTGCATGAGTTGATGTCAATCTCGTAGGCGCGGCGGTGAGGTGGTGTCTCACGCCAGTCACGTGGTTCCTGACCTTCTCTGCTCCTATTTTCCTCTGACCATGGCAATATTCCACGTTTGGGCTTTCTTCACCGTCCTTACGGCCTTCCTCTAACTGCTTTGAGCCGTTTGCGTACCGCCTGATGGGCAGAATGATGGTCTGTACTCGGTTAAGTATGCCCGTCGAGGACAACATTCTAGTATCAGTCTGGCCATCTTGTCATTGTCTTGGCCTACTACCCTTGATTTATCAAGGGCGAAAGTGTGGTTCTCCTGTTATACGTGGTCATAGACCATAGACAGCTCAATCTTGTGGTTAATTGTGCGCTGATACCTATGCAAAATTATGTCAAGGCGTCTACCTGTTTCGCCAACATACCTTGCATCGCACTTTTGGCATGGTATGCTGTATCCTTTCACAGGCGGCGGTGAACACTGGCGAAGACAAGGCTCATGTTGACTGCGTCCAGCCAGGCCTAAGAGAGCATGGGACAGGGGTGGCAGCTGCTTAAATGCTGCAATTGCCCGAGGGGCTGTAGCGTGCAAAGGCCCCCTGCTGGCGTGTTAAGTGGCCCTTAGGAAGCCGTGATTAGTTGGGCACGAGTGTATGCTCGAGTGTGTGTAAATGTATATGTGCGTGACGGGATATCGGTTAATTGGTTTTCAGTTGAGCAAGTGGGAACAGCCGCCTGCGAAGACACCCGAGGTTGACGCAGCGAGCATTGGGAAGGGGAACAGCATTAATGACCGTCCGCCACAAGCTCACTGCTGATTGTTCTGTCAGTGATAACGGGTCTTCGGACCACATGGTTCACTGTCTGATGACTGAATCTAGCGTCTGAAGGACTTTTGATAACCATAGGCTCAAAATTGGGCATGCAAGTTATAATCTCCCCCTTCTACCCATCATCGTTGCTGCAGTTTTGTCTAAACTGCGTTCGTGACAAACGGGTGGTTGCATCTGAACTGGAGGATGTTAGGATGGTAGCCCTACCAAAGGCTAGCAACCTTGTCGGCTCTCTTAGGGCGTCGAGCCTGCCGCTGACCACCACAGTGATTCCTTTGTTCAATAGCGTTAGCTGGGCTGGCCCCCAAGCAATGACCTT